GTAATCCCAGCACTTTGGGAGGCCGAGGCAGGTGGATCACGAGGTCAAGAGATGGAGACCATCCTGTTCAACATGGTGAAACCCCGTCTCTACTAAAAATACAAAAAATTGGCTGGGCATGGTGGCGCATGCCTGTAATCCCAGCTACCCAGGAGGCTGAGGCAGGAGAATTGCCTGAACCCAGGAGGCGGAGGTTGCAGTGAGCCAAGATCGCGCCATTGCACTCCAGCCTGGGCAACATGAGCGAAACTCCGTCTCAAAAAAAATAATAATAATAATAATTAATAAATGGGATTAGTGGAAAGATTTTAGTGCAGACAATTTGATAATAAAGAGGGAATATTAATGATCAGATAAATGGAGATCCAGGCTATTGTATTATAAAGTTAAGGACTTAATATATTTTAGGCCAGATGCATTGGCTCACCTTTAATCCCAGCATTTTGGTAGGCTGAGGCGGGAGGATTACTTGAGCCCAAGAGTTCCAGACCAACCTTGGCAACACTGAGAGACTGTCTCTACTACTTGGGAGGCTGAGGTGGGAGGATCCCTTGAGGGTAGGAGGTTGAGATTACAGTGAGCTGATATCATGCCACTGCAGTCCAGTCTGGGCAGCAGAATGGGACCCTGTCTGTATAAAATAATAATGATAATAATGATGCTCTGATTTTGAGCACCTTACCTGTGTTAAAGAATTGTGACGTCTCAGGCTTGCCGTCTGGCTATCATAAGTAATTGAAGCAGTGGTATTCTGAAAGAGAAGATTGGAAACGATGTTACGGAGAAGGGGAAAGCAGAAACTACACAGTAATTTGATAGAATAAATTTTATTTATAGATGTATTTTAAGAAAGTTGATTATAAAGTATTGTTTGTTTGTTTGTTTTGAGACAGTTTCACTCTGTGACCCAGGCTGGAGTGCAGTGACACGATCTTGGCTTACTGCAACCTTCACTTCCCAGGTTCAAGCGGTTCTCCTGCCTCAGCCTCCCCAGCAGCTGGGACTACAGGCATGTGCTACCATGCCCAACTAATTTTTTGTAGTTTTAGTAGAGATGGGATTTCACTGTGTTGGCCAGGACAGTCCCGGTCTCCTGACCTCGTGAACCTCCCACCTCGGCCTTCCAAAGTGCTGGGATTATAGGCATGAGGCACCACACTTGGCCCTAGGTTTGTTGCTTATAAAGGCAGTAGGCTGATAAGTTACAAGGGTTTTAACAAGTAAATAAAACAGGCAAGAGGAAAAGAACTAATAATCTTTTGCAGATATCTGCTATGGGGTAAGATAAATATAGTACTCTTTAAGTATTGGTACTTTAGTTTAATTTCCCATGTTTTCTTTTACAGTAATTGGTGCTGAAAATTCAGAAAAAATAGATGAGAATTCAGATAAAGAGGTGGAAGTAGAAGAATCTCCAGAGAAAATAAAAGTACAGACCACACCAAAAGTAGAAGAAGAACAGGATTTGAAAGTATGTATATTACTTAATGCAACTTTACAATTTTTTTTAATTTATGTGGTTTTTTTTTAGATGAAGTCTCACTCTATTGCCCAGACTGAAGTACAGTGGTGCAGTCTTGGCTCACTGCAACCTCCACCTCCCAGGTTTAAGCGATGCTTCTCCCTCAGCCTCCCAGGTACCTGGGATTACAGGTGTGCGCCACCAACACCTGGCTTATTTTTTGTATTTTTAGTAAAGACAGAGTTTCATCATATTGGTTAGGCTGGTCTTGAACTCCTGACCTCAGGTAACCCACCCAGCTCGGCCTCCCACAGTGCTGGGATTACAGGTGTGAGCCACCATGCCTGGCACATCAATTTTTTTTTTTAATGCCAGTCATTAAACTGGTTTGTGTTAGCAAGTAGTAAAAGTAATCTTTACTGTTTCCAAACCTAAATTGTTTACTTCGTTAGGTGAAAAGATCATGTTTAAGTCTGAAATAATGACTTAAAAGGCTGACTTGATGCTGAGAAATTATTTAAAATTCTTTTTTTTTTTTTTGAGACGGAGTTTCGCTCTTGTTACCCAGGTTGGAGTGCAATGGCGCGATCTCGGCTCACCGCAACCTCCGC